AAAGGCAAATGGGAGAATGGAGAATGGAGCAGGGAACTGAAGAAGTAAAGGGCTAACAAAGGACCTCGCATAGCATCCTGGCCAAGTCGCGTCAGCTGCCAACAATATTCCTGGCGCCCAGACAGACCGGGAATAGCAGGCACTGCTGCAGGGGGAGTACTACCTCACTCCAGAGCTCTGGAGCATTCAAGGATTATGTTAAATTTAGCGGTGACGATGACACACAAGACACTTGGCAAAAGGCTCTTACACAATGGCCGCAATAATTGCGCGGAATCGGGAATTCGGCAGTGTGGAGGCTGAAAGGTGGCCATTAATTGTACCAAGTCAGTGCGGCTGGCAAAGCCAAAGTCAGTGCCAAGTGAACAGAGGCCAACGAATGTCCCGTGCAGAGCCCGGGAAGGGCTCTATTGTCTCTTTACATTTCATTATGCCACACATTTTTCGTTATTTTTATTGTCATTTTCATGGCTCTGCACTGTTTGTTTAATTTAAATGCCAAACGAAAGACTCCCCCTAGCTACCATTCATTGAACCATCCAGCCACCCCACCAATTAAATACAATTTCAAAAACCCTGAAAAGTGCGTCGCTGTCACAGTACGCGAATAAACAGCAGTCCAGCGCAGAACCGGAAGACGAAAAGATAAATCATTCACAATTCTCGAACGTTTCTCTCCTATTTATCAAGCTCAGCGGAATTCCTGGCGAAGGATAATTTGGGGAATATACTCATGAAAAATTCCAGTATATACATACTCGAATTTATGTATGTATGTCTACAAATTTCTGTATACAATAAAGTAAGCATCGTCCAAATAATATTATCGCTCAGGGTTTTTTTCCTTATTATTTCTTTATTATTTCTGGCCGTAAACTTAAAATATTTACCGCTTTTACGTTAACCAGGCTAACGTATTAGTGATCATCTATCACTGATCAGGTATAATGATTTGAGTTCTGTCGAACGCTTATGATACATTCCTTAATATAGCGCAGTCGTAAAAGTATTAGCTACTATATTTTGGCTTTTTTAATGTTCTTTTCGTCCTTTTCGACTACTTTGCTTGTTCTTATTGATTTGTCAGTTATAGATATCATGTATCATGTAGCCATGTTCTTTAATCCGTCTGTCTGCATTACCCTGTTGGACCTTAAGCTATTCAATAATTAACTGGGAAATATCGGTAGAAGGACCACAACATATAGCTGCATATTTTACTTCGTTTTACCATGGCTAATATGTTTTAGCCACTTCATTTTCCAATTCCACTTCATGTAGTCAGTCGTGGTGAACGAATGAGTGGAAACTGAGGGAAGGGAAAAACAACATTCCAGGCCTTCTTCTTTTGCGGTTGGCCAAATATTTGCATTAAATTTGGCCAAGTGGCAACGTTTATTCTACTATAATATATTTTTCTCCGTTCCTTCCGTTGGACTGCCGCTTTACTGCTTTCAATCGCATTTTTTCCTTCAACCGGCTACTTCTTTTTCTACAGCACTTGATTTTCTCATTTTCCATTTCCTCTTCATTTTGCTTGGGTCTGTACGTATCTGTGTGTGTGTGAGGTGGGTTTTTAGTTGTACAACAATTTCTTTGTTTGTTCTGTGCTTTCGTGGCGAGTTAATTTTGCATTTCCGCTCATTTAACTGCATTTTTTCCACTTTTGCCCCTGCTCTAGCATCTGCTGCTGCTGCTGCTGCCGCTGCCGTTGGCCGACTCAAAGTGCCGTGAAGTTGTTTTGGCCACAGGCTGCCACAGGAAGTTCATTTGAAGCGGGAAACAGCAGAAAAAGTCATATGAACGTGCCTAGCAGTAGCACAACAGGGCAGGTCCAGGCATGAAATCACACTCAAAAAGATTTCAGTTTTTACGTCTTAGTTGAGGGAAGCGAACTATACTACAGAATTTCTTGCAATATTACTCCAGCTGCGGATGTGAGGCAAACACTTCAGATTTCGATTATGCACGTGGATCTTCATAGACCCTTCATCGGCAAGTGCAATAAATCTACGACAATACCGCTTTTCCTGCACTTTAAGTGAACCAAGACCGAGCAAATAATTGTATATTTATGCGGCTCTCCAGCGTGAATCCTTTAATGCATCCGCGTCTTAAATAATTTTATGCCTATTTGCTCGTTGCAGCTCGAAAATCTCACACCTCAGTCAGCAAAAGTTGAGGCGAACGTGCGTGCCAGAAGTTTCCGTCTTACGCAAATAAAGGGATACGGAAACAGTATACATACATATGTGGCTGAGTGGGATGTGGTAGGGGGTCCTTTAAAGGTGCTTTGGGGTGCCTTTCGGTACTGGGCTGTCATTTCTTAGGTTTTGCATAAATACGAGTACAAGAAAGTACATATATTATTTTGCAAGATAAATTGAGAGTCCCCGTTTGGGCAACGGCCCTGCCTAGACACACGGACAGCGGCATAAAAATTATATGTCAAGCGCAAAATCTCGGGCCAAACGCGATGCTGGGACAACTCTTGAACATGCAAGAGGCAGAAGCGTGGCTGCTGGGAAAGAAAGGGAAGCTCCATCTGAGAGGGTGCAAAGGCGTTACCGCTAAATTGTGGTGCGAGCTTGGAGGGAATTTGGATAAAAGTGCGAGTGTGAATATAAAACGATGATGTGCACGCCGGCAATCTGATTATTTGATATTTAAGCTGGATCTCAAACGGGCCGAGAGTGAAATTTAATTTACGATATACCATCGCCAGTCGTCTCCAGCAGGTGCCGAAACGAGGTGGTCTCTTTAGATCGCCTGAATATCTGAGAGTGTGAATTCGTACACGAGAAGAAAAATGTCAGGGATTTCTAACTGAACTGATGCACATATGTGACTCAATTTCTCTTATCCAAAAATAAAATACTCAATTTACTCTAATTTTCTGCCGAAACTTAAATAAAAACGCCTGCGGGTTTATAGGAATATAAATAAGCTGAGCTACTAGTAATTAGCTAAAGAGAACCATTTACCCTGAACAAGGGATGTTACGGTATTAGAGTGATTCAGTTAAAGATATCCGGCAGCTTGCATATTTATATTTCTGACTCTGACTGCCTGGATGCTCTCTGATGTACTGCTGCATTAGAAATAGATTAAAAATATGTTTTATCTGAGTGGGTCGTGCAACACCTGTAGTTTTAAGATGATGCTAGTTTCAGGTCGTCCTTATTTATATCTCCATTGAGTAATGGGTCTCATTGTCGACAAACAAACACTCTTCCTGATTTAAAAACTTACTTCTGAAGAGAACATATTAGGAATTCCGCACGTTATGTACGCTTGATTTTGCTAGGTGTACATTTCTATACACTCTGAATGTATTTATGTAACTTGTGCGTGCGTCGGAATCTACTCCGAGAAATAGCAGCAGCAGCTCCTTGCTGCCCCACCCACGTCTGGCCAGGCACAAGTCGCAGCATGACATTGCACTCAACTTTGGTTTCTGCAGCTTTCACCTCCATTTTTCCAGCTCTCACGCCGTCCCCTCTCTGGGCTGCCGCTGCCCACAAGCGGCAACCAGCTGTTGACTTTTATTGTGGCTTGACATTAATTTGTTAAGTGCGGCATGGCTGCCTGCCTCCCCGAAAAACCTTGGCCAAGTCAACTGTGAGGCAGAGACTTTGAGGTGAGAAACTTGACTTGTTCCACCATCTTCGGCATCCTCCTCTGACGTGCCCAAACCATGTCCATGTCCCTAATTGCGTTTGAAACGCTTTCGCGGCTCCGTTTCCCCCATGGGGTCTTCGGTCTTACGCCTTACGGCTGGCCTTGGAATCGGAGTGCCAGACGGATTCGTATCCGGACCTGGAGTTGCGACCGGAGTCGACGTCATCGTTGCTTTTAATTATGCCCGATGCACTGCGAAAATGCTTAAAAATGCAAATTATGCGCTGTGAAATGCAACGCATGCCAAATGCTGCCGCATAAATTATGAGCCACATGGCGGGGCTCCACTTTCGTCCCCTGCATTCATTTTCTGCTTCATTTCTGTTCCCACACCTTGCCGGGCATCGTATTATGTTGTTACACATTTGGTTTGGTGTCATCGACGACCCACCCTCCGCCGACTGTTGGCACAAGCTTCCTGATATGCACACTCGTAGGCACAGAAATATGCACCTACATCTGTATGTACACAACCAGATAAAGATGGAAATACATGCGTGATAAGTGCATGGTCGTGATATATGTAGATCACTATATTGATTTTCAATCAAGACTTTGAAAGAAGAGAAGCTCTTGGGAAGAGTAATAGTAATAGTGATCAAGTAACCAAATAAAAGACTTATTAATACAGTCTCCAGCTATTAACGTTGATTATTTTTGCCTCACATGTGTCACATCGTGTCACGCGCTCATCCCCACACACACACACGTGCCTAATGAAGCACAGACACACAATCAGCCACTTTCGGCCTCAGACTCGCGTAATGTTTGTTTAATTAGCCCGTATTAATGAGGCTGGAAGAGCACACAGAGGTGGCAACTCATTATGATAGCCGCCAAAGAGCCAATCGGCCATTGTTATTGGCCATTGCATCCTGGTTGCCCGCTAAGCAGACCCAAAGCTCTGCCACGCCACTCCGGCCATTGCAATGCATTGATTGGCATGGCATGGCTGCTTCTGGGCAACCGTCTGCTGCTGACCCAGTATTCGAATTTCATTTTCATCGTCTATTGATTCAGAAACCATTTGCCTCCGCCCACAATAAATACGTTTGTGAATTCAATTGTGGCACTCATAATATTGTTCATTGGCAGCTGCCAAATCTCTCTTTCTCTGCTTAATGACGTGATTTCTGTTTTCATGCATGGGATTATGGAGAGCTTGACATGAGCAGCGTCGAGAGCTGAAACAGAGGAAATCAAGAACTGTGTTACACAAATTACCATATTTCACTCTAGTTATCAATCCCCAATCCCCACTCACCACACCTCTGAGAAACCTTTCAGGCTCTGCTCCCCATCACTTTCTCAGTTCACATTCAATACGTTCAACCATTTACCCATTTACCCATTTACCCATTTATTATTGCTTCAATCACAACACAACATGGCGTGCAAGAAGAAGACTAGGCTGTGGGACCCGATGGCCAAAGATGCCGACTACATGAAGACCACCACTCAAGAAATGCTGGAAGAGGGGGCCAAAGTGCAGAGGGCGGTTCGCTCGCTGGAACGGAAACTGGTCAACTTTCAGTCATTCAATATGGATGAGTAAGTGGGGACCCGTTCTCTGGATAATCCTACATTTGATTTGGTGGTATCCGTATCCCCTCACTACGTAGTCCCCGCTATGGGTCTGCCCACATTGAAGACGATCTGGAACTTCCTCTGGTCACCAGCTACATGCGAAACTACTCCCAGCCATATCCCTCGCGCCTCAAGCCTCTGGCTCCGAAGTCCGAAACCCCTGATCCCATGTTCAATCGCTTGCCCACAAACGACTTCGAAGCCAAGACAGGACTGGCCTTCAAGTTCCTCGATGATCATATGCACAATGTGAGCGAAGTGCGCAAGAAAGTTAACTTTTTCAGGCAACTGAGGTAAGTGGAAGCGGGTCAAGAAGGAACTATCTGAGTTGTTCCCATTTTATTCCATAGAAACCAATCATTCTTTCAATATTGAGTATGACCGTCAATGGACTGTGGACTGTGGACCCTACACTCACATCGTTCTTCGTTCTTTTAATTGAAAATTTGTATATGCTATGGTCGATATATAGTGGTCGAACGGAGTTTGGAAGGGGGAATAAAACCCATTTGTTGCATGCCCGTGGCACTGCCTCCCTGCTATTTTGTGATCAATTTGTGTTGCAATTTGGCCAATCATCAGTGCAGTCACGCCACATAGTTCCCATTTTAAAAGCTCTCCATTGTGCCACAATTATAAATTACCCGTCATTACTGGAGACCCCAAGTCCCCATTTGTCTGCTGATGTCTCAAGGAAAATGTGTCAATTGCATTTTCTGTTTCTTCCATCATTTTCAATAGAATCAATTAATTTTGCATAAATAAACTCGATTGTCAGCGTGGTCGGCGGAGTGCTTGGGTAAGCGGCAACAACAATCATGTCCCTTATTGGGTTAGGACAGGGAAAATGTTCTTGGAAAAAATAGCAAACAAATTGCAATTAATAATGCATAAGGCAAGGACCAGGCAGCGGCGAGGTGCACTGGAGCCAAGTCCGATACTCGTCCGTCGCTGCCTTCTGGTATTGCTTGCAATTTGCATAAATGCTAGAAGAGCTCGCCTCTGGAGCCTCTAGAGCGTGGGGGTGGTGTCAAGCTAATGGCAAACTATGACAGGGATCTGATTTATTATGCACGGTAATTAGTTTGGCCTCTTTAGCGGGCCAAATGGAAGCCAATAAACCAGGCTGTCATGCTGGGACGGGCCATGAATTGATTTTGCAGAGGAAACTCGACTCGCATCTCCTCTTTGTGGCGGATGCATCAACAAGCTTGATGGCGAACGCTGACGAAGGGAATGGCGACGAGGTGGCAAGAAACAAAACACTCTGACTCGACCAGTTGACAGCAGCATGAAAGTCAGATGAATGCTTCAAAGTGACAGCCACCAGCGGAGGCGCCCATTGTGGCTAGACAAAACACGACTTGGACATGTTCTTCTGCCCCTGCAGGCCTTCATCGTGGTCCGCGGTGGGATGATCCCGACTGGTGATTGTTAGGCGTGCAATTGCTCCCAGCTATGAATAGACTAGCTCCGATTCAGTGAAAGGTGATTTTGAAATGAGCAAAAAGAGGCAATCTTTATCCTCCCAATCCAAGAGGGATATTAATTGGTGTTGCAGCAGGGGTTCGCAGTTTCGCAGTTTCGCAGTTTCGGTGTACAACTTTTTCAAATACCATCAGATGTCAGAAACCAAGCGCCACAAGTTTACCGCCCAGTTGAACCCTGCGATAGGAGGCTAAGTATCAAGAAACATTGATTGTTCACTAATGTAAGTCAGAGTAGTACGTAAGGAGAAGTGTAGAACTGAATAATAAACCACTTCACAAAATACCAATATTTCTCAGATGGGCCACGAAATCCTGACCTTAATGAATAATTTCTAGGTCAAACAGATATCAAATCAATATCCGAAAGGGCAAAGGTCCCATTTGTATTATAAATCAGCTCGCTGGTAAGTGATTTTTGCCTAGCTCAGTCCAGCCTATCATCAGCTACATAGAGCTCGGGAACAGAAGACTGCAAACAAACACAGGTTTGGCAGCGTTGTTTGCTCGACATTTCGCACATGCCGCCCAGACGCCTGGCCACATTCGTCAGGCAAATATGGAAGACTAGACGTTCACATAGCGAGACAGCCACACGGCCAGTAAGGCAGAGGGAAAGATGCCGTGGTCCACTCCACTGTGCTGTCCCTCACACACAAAGAGTCACAACTGATAAGAGCCGTTCTCCGACTTCAACATACTGAGATTACACCAACGAGAACACCTGGGAGAGAGACCCACCACATACACCAACGAAAGCCGGCTGCTCTCTCTCGTTTTGCGACTGCGTTGCACGAAGCGATTTCAACAACGAGGGACCGCTCGGCTCTGATAAGACCCAAGCCACTCGGTTCGGATGATGGCCGGAATCGGATGGCGCGGTTCGGGCCTTCTTATGGCTGGCCCGGAGGACCGTTAGCAGCGGCAAATCAGTCGAATCGGGAGCGTGGCGATGTTCGTTTTGCGGCAGTGCTCGTTGCGGCCGGAGTGGCAGTTGCTTGAAACAGGAGCTGCCAACTGAATGTGTGATTTCTGCGAAGGTTGGATACTAGTGCCAGTGAGGGAATGCGAAACGGCCATATCGAGTAATGCAACCGAGAAGGCGTGCAGGCGTGCAGGCGAGAAGTGAGCGAAAGCTGAAGCCAGTTCAAAAGTTCAAAACACCAAAAAAAAAAAAAGTGTCAAGTGAAACAAACAAATGAAGAAACACTTTGCGGCCGGGGTCGACAGCGTGTGTGGGCGTGCTGGGCATGGGCATGCTGCATGTGTAATTAATTTTTGGCATTTAAATTGGCCAACATCAAGGCTTTAAATCAATTTGACAAATTTGCATTTTTCTGGTGGGCGAAAAGGCCAAAAAAGAATAAAACAAAATAAAGGGAAGCCACCAAAGGCAATTTCATTTACAAATTACAAATTGATGTGGTACATGGAAGGTCTCGGAATACAGCAGCAATCAGGGGACTCCCAGGGAGGCCAGTGGAGCCAGGGAGCATGGGAGCACGGGAGAAGGGACTTGGGGAAGCCTGCCAAATATCCTGGCAGTGCGTTGCTTATTCGCCTTCGGTCGTGGGAAGCTTAAAATCATTTGTCTGATATGAGGCAACGTGTTCGGATCGGCGGATTAAGTGGATTATTGGGGGTCATCTTAAGGATTATTTTCTCGAGATGGCAGCTTTAATTGGCACTTTCTCTTCGACTTTGTGAGCTGTGTTGTAGTTGGAGCAAAGATGTAATATTTTAGATCAGTTTTTTAACTAATAAGAGGAAAAAATCTCTTACAGAAAGAGCTCTATTCCTTAAGCTATTTATTTTATTTATAAAGAGATTTCCTATATTTGATACTTTGAAGCCGATATGAACAGTCTCTTTATTATGCAAATATTCAAAGCATTAAAACATCCCCAAGCTCTGATGTAAATTTATGTATGTACATACATATGTACATAATTCGAGAAGCAGAACAGATCTGTCAAAAAAATTTCATAAAAACAATTTTTCTCGTTATCTCAACGTTTTATTCTTCCATTAAAATTTCCAGAGAAATTTCATATTCTTTCCACCAAGCCCCAGAGAAATGTTCGACATAAAAAATGATATAAATGATTTAAATACTTTTCTTTCTGCATATTTTTGCCCATTTTCCTTGAGTAACAATACTTAATGTGGTGCAAAGAAATCTCGCATTTACTTTTTAACGAAGGTCGGAGCAGGAAAGTAAAGGCTGGGAGACTGAGGGCGGTTGGCAGTTGGCAAAAGACGGTGGGGTAACAGCAAAGAGCAAGAGTAATAATAATAATAATAACATGAACAAAATAAAAGGAATGAGCAGAAGAAAAATGACTGAAACGTGCCTCGTATGCAAATATTTGCAAAACGCAGACTAATAAGTGGAAGCCACCAGGACAATGGCCCATGCCAGAACAAGGCGGGAATGGAAAGTCTCGAAAGCCGATGACAAAGACAGAATCCTTCAGGACCGAGGTGTCAACTTTTCTCAAAAATCCCTTTCCTGGGGGAGAGCATAGAGCATCCAGGGCCGCTTTAATGTCAGAGATGTGCGGAAATACATTGTTTTTCCATAAATTAAAGAATCATTTTCTCTCTCATTTATAACAATAACGAAAGTCTGTCGAAGAACTCAACAGTGCTAAAAAAAAAATTGTTTATGTGATCCCTCCCCACCATCCCACCATTCAACACTCGTATGGGAAAAAATGAAATACATTTCATTGCATAATTCATTGCGCAGGGGAGGGCAAGACAGCCGCTTGCCATTTGCTATGGTCATAAATCTTTTGGCATATGGGCTGCCATTCCCATCATCGTCATCAACAGGGGAGAAATGTGAAGTCCACATCTACAGCAAACAAAAACTCACAAAAATATTTTAAAAATTAAATTTTTATTGTTTTTCCCAATCGTCAGTCGAATGGCCAACACAAAAAACAACAACAGATAGTGCTTAAAATTGCCTAAAAGGCCAGAGGACAACAAAATAGAATAGTTTCCAAATATATTCCATGAGAAGTGGCTAAAACAATAAGCACCGGGCGCTTTAAAACTCTCTCCCTCACTCTCCATCCCTCTCGGAAAACACAAACAATGAAGCACGACAGTGGCAACAGTGGCAGAAACATCATCAACAACAGCAGGTCCACTCTTTGGGCCATCAACAAGAGCAACAGAACCCACAATGTTCTATGGCTATTACAAAAGTAACAAACAACAAATAGCCAGCAACAACTAAGCCAAAAGTTCGCCAAAGCATTTGATGCTAGAACAACAACCACAGCAGCAGCAATAGCAGCAAACACAGCGGCCACCACATCAGCATTGGCAACACTTTTACGAGTCGCCAACTACATTTTACAACGAATTTTTGTTATTGCAAAAGGTAAGTCCTGCCTCTGCCTTTTCCATCGCTGGTCGCCCTAAATGTGAAGCACCTTGGTCCCTCCTGTTTGGTTGCCATAGAGCTTGACCTATGACATGTTTGGTCCTATTGAGAGTGGCAAAGCATGGCTTCTTTTATCGAACGAAAAATACTGGTTTAACTTTTCCCTTTTGATGTGGGATCCTACGAGGGTAAGCGGTAGTGGATTAGGGCAAGGCTAATGAACGATATTCTTTGGCCTGGTGGCTGTCCTACCACTGCAAACTATTCGCATAATCTACTCTGATGTGCATCCGAAATAAATCAACGAATTCATTTAAAGAAAACCTTTGACACTTTAATCCACAGCTTGCATCCAAAGAGACTCTGCTTTCAACGCAGATCACGCCGGGCAATTCACTTTCTCGCAGCTCAATTAGCTGCCCCCAGCTCAGCTCGCAGATGAAGGGAAATCCCTTCAATTAAATGCAAGCCACATGGTTGGCCTGGCCCCAGCAGCGCACTTATCGGATGTGTCTGACTAGCCCACATCCGCATTCCCCTCCACAGCCGCACGCTGCACCACCATCACCAGCACCCTCAGAGCCACCACCGCAGCCGCATTCCACTCGAACTCAAGCACTTGTCCAACATATATCATCTTTCATGATGTTGTTGCTTCTGTGGTGCTGATGCAAAAGTGAAAAAAAAGAATTGAGAAGAAAATGCTGACAGGCGAGTGAGTGGAAAAAGTTGTTCGAGCTGCCATTGAATACGCTTTTCAGCTGCTGCCGCATGGAAATCCCTTTTTAATTTTTCATGGCTGCCTCGGAAAACTGTGCTCCTCTCGCAGCCTCACTCAAAGTCAAAGCAAACACAGTCAAGCCGAACCGGAGCGAACGGAAGTCCCTGGGTGGGCTATACAATGCACATGCACATAGGGCCAGAGTGCTGTAAGTCATACTTAACTCATAGGAAACACATTTGCCCGAACCCTGACTTCCCAGCCCAGCCCAGCCCAACCCAGCTCAGCGCAGCCCATCCCTGCCCAGCGTCGAGTCCTGACTACGCTCATCTTTCATCTCCTGTCGCTCACGTCCAGCTGCCAAAACTCAAAGTTCTCATATGCTAAGCGTGAAAAATTGCTCGAGATGGACTCCCGGTCCAGGTCCGCTGCTCCCAGTCCCGACTCCTGACCGATCAAATATTTGCATAGTAAATGGTTTCTATTATTAACTGTGTACACATCCATCTCGAAGGCTTCTTCGGTTGCTGTTTTTCGGGGGCCAGCACTTTTCATAAAAACGCCGAAACAAAGTTGTTAAAATATTTGCTAGGCTCTCTCTAAGTGGGGTCCTTAGCTGTCCTTAGCTTGCCAGCCTGTCTCTGTGTCTGTGTCTGTGGTCAGGGCTAGCACTTACTTATTTTAGGGATGTGCCGTGCGCCCTGCTGTGCGCCCTACTGTATGCGCTATAAACGAAAATCAATTAAATCCTCTGCATGCTTTTAATTAAAATTCCCATGGAGTTGGATAATTAAGTTAACGCTTTTGCACGGGTCATGTTGTATTGTTGGGTGTACTCGATCCGCGAAGAGTTAAGCAACAGGGAGCTTGTCTGGAGTTGGGAGGGCTGACAATGGGGGATGCCAGGTAATACGAAGTCGATCCTCATTCACTCCATGAGGGCTGACATGGTTCGGCCCTTTTACGCCCTTTCCACCATTATTTGCGCAGTCCCAGCACAACGCTCACGTAAATAAGGCGCGAAATTTAAAGCTTGAATCTCATTAAAATGGTTTTATTGCCAAGGCAGATACGACTGGTGATACGGTGGATGGGGCTCTGGAGCAGGCAACGCGTTGTGGCAGGAAGCTCCTTCCATTTCGCTACACATTTATTTTCCACCCATCCATAGTTTCATTCCACTGGAGTTGCGGGCGCTGCGGGTGTCAATTTCATTGAGCGCTGCTCGCTTTGAAGTTGGCCGAAAGGGTAGCAGAGCAGAAGGAGTGAGGGTAGCAGCACGGAGCGGTGGGTGGGGAGGGGAGCCTTAGCACAATTGAAATCGATGGCGGAGAAGGGGAAAACTACGGGGCGTGTTTGGGCCGTCTCCATCTCTCCCACACAAGCACAGTCACAAAAACCGCTCAAACTCAATTTGGGTCCCTCCATTTATTTTCCCGCTACCTCCTTCGGCCCCGCATTATCATTGGAAAGAGTGCGCCAAAGAGGGAAGCTGGCGGGAGTAAGCCAATAATTTTCATTTCAACTTGGCATTTTTTTGGCGGCTGCCAGACGCAGCAGAGGCAGATGACTTCTTGCTGGGTTGGGTGGGTGGCAGACTGGGTAACCGAGCGCCCCATCCGAGTTTTCCAGCATGCCCAGAACGAAGGAACCGTTTAAGTGGAAAATTACACTAAAATAGACACAAAATGCTATTTGTGGGTGCCAGACTCAGCATCGAAATAGGCAGCGGGCAGTAGGGGCTTGTTATTTCGATTGAGTGTGCCAACAGCGGTCGGCCCCTTCCTATCGTTGGGGCAACGTGACGGATGGTAAATGCCAACAACCCAATCCTGACCTGTCCATGACGTCATGTGTTGGAATTTTTGGGTACAGCCTCATTGACATGAATCGAGCTAAGAAGGACCCACAGAAATGTACTAACGGATAAGAATGGATAGTTCTTTTGCAATGAAGAAAATGAAGCTAATCCAAGGATTTCAAGGATGAGTTTTGAACGATTTCCGTCACTACAATAATACACAGAAACTTTAAAATAAAGTTCATTTTCTTCGCCCAGTCCTTTTCCATTTTGAACCACATATTTTCGGGTACAACTCTTCTCGATCTGATATATACATATAAATATATTAACCAGGTAAAAATCAGATTCAGGCCCTCAAGGCAACTATTTTCTGATAGACGTACATGGCAGTGTCCCAAAAAGGGTCCATTAAAACATCATTCATTCAGTGACAGACTCGTTTCGATCAAACGGGACTCCGCTTTCGAATTTCCAGTTTTCCCGTTTGACAGTTCATTTTGGAACGAGTGACGTCAACGTGAAAGAAATAACGAGAAAAACCGGACCGACAGCCAAAAAAGAGGAGATGGAAATTTTAAAGGGCGAGGAAACTTGACAGTTGGCCAATAAAAAATGCAGGACCCCAGAAATAGTTCACAATCCCCGCGCAAGAAACAGAAGGAGTGCAGCCAGAGAAGAGGGGAGACGATGCATTTAATTGTTCGGAGAGGCGTATGAGAATAAAGTTTAAGTACAATTTTTGTGTTGACACTTGGCTGCAGAAGAGGCAGAAAGAAGGCAGGAATGAAACGAACACAGAGTACAACTGCAACAATCAAAAGTAAATACAAATAACAAGTTTTGTGCGACACGAGGCAAGAGGCGGCCACTTATGCATGTCCCAAGTCCTGTCGTCGAGACGAGACGACAAGACAAGACAGAGCCGGAGAGTGCGACCGAGAGATGTGTTCAACAGAGTAGACAGACCGTGACTGCACATAAGTTGGACTCGTCGGAGAGCGCTGCATCATCATCACCACCACCACCACCACCACCATCATCATCATCATCGTTCTCGTCCCCGTCATCATCTGAAGAAAAGCTAAACAAATCCTTATGTCAGGGCAGGGACATCATATCCTTGTACGTTTGTCTTTGGCCCGGCTTCCCCTCTCGAAGGGACAATGCGATTCTTCTGCACTTTTTCCTCTGCTCGCTCGCTTGTAAGCAAAATCCTTTTGGCACAGCATTTGTATGCCCATCATGAAAAGGACAACAGGAGAGCAGCCTCTATCTGTCTTATGTCTTATGCCGTCTCTTTCTGAGTAGTTATTTAGGTAAATTTGAATACGTGCATCCCTGCTCTCGCAAATGCAAAATAAACCCAAAATGCACTTCCGCCTTAATGCGTTTTGTTCTGGGCAGGCCAGCAGGAACATGGGACAAACGGCAAAGGATATTAGCTTGCCTGATGTGGGAGCTTTCAGGGTGTTTCGGGTGTTCAGGGCACTGCCAATCCTCCATAATTGCGTGTATCTCATGGAGGCTACGACCTCATAAAACAAGGGCGAAAAGGATGTCGGAATCAAGAGAAATGTGCGCGTCAGGAGCAGTGAAAAATTGTAGCAAGTTGGCAGCTCCTTTGGCACGTACCGAAAGACGAAACCATTTATACAGCTCCGCTCCGCATTTCCCCTAAAAATATTATACTAAAAGAAGTTTCCTGAGAGACGTTAGGTCCATGTTATGCAAAATGAATTGATGTACTTATGCACAATATGGGAGTGCCTTCGTTGTGAATGGGAATAGGACTTTGAGTGCTCCATAGCTAATATCCCAAGTATTAATTACCTCTTGAATCTCTAAAGACAGCGATGTTGTTTTTTTCCCCAATCGCAATTCAGATAGAAATTTGTAATAATTTGTAATAATAACTGAACAAAATCCGTCAATATTAGATGTGTATATTATTAGATTAATGTTCTGTAACCGTATAATGAATTAATTGGTACACCTGCGTTTGGATAACCAGTATCAGTATTAGTATCTAAGAAGCCAAAGTTCACTAACCTGAAAGCCTCTTAAATTCTTTTGTTGTACCAATTTTGGAATATGGTGTATAGGCAGACATTAAAAACCGACGCTTTTGCAGGCTAATACAGAATAAATTATTATTAAATTATGCCTGAATTTTGGGCAAAATTTACTTGGCAGCTAATAGCTAATGCCAAAACGATGCCTATCTGTAGTATCCGAAAGGTTCCTATTCGTTTCTACCTACAATATACATATATGCAAACGAAAGACAAGGTTGATCCGTGTCTGCAGATGGTTATGCCGAGTGCTGGCTCCATTTAATCATTCTCCCACCTCGTCAATTCTATTACGAGTAAATCACACGCAATTTGATCACCAAAAGGGCCCACCTGCATAATCAAGTTAACTTCTGGCAGCAGGCTCAGGTTTTCCGAGTAGTTGGAAGAAGGGAAAGCC